CTTGGCCAGTGCATTTGGGGACTTTTCAATGTACAATAAAATGCAGAAGAACAGAATTCAGGACATAATGAGAGGGTTACTACTCATGATATGATTGGTTGTAGGATCGCAGATGAATGCAGAGGCTCATGAGTTGGGAGAAAGGATGCAAGTGAGAGCACTGATTCGGTATACGTAATGTGGTGGGAGAAAAGTTGAACAAAACTACAAATATGCACTGGTATTTGTACACAAATAGAGAATCTATATACGTACATATGTGTGTGTGTGTATATATATATTCATTGGTTAGGGACACATCTGGTCTTATAAGTCTTACACCAAAAAAAATCAAATCAACAACAAAAAAACAACAAAACTATGCACAAAAGGATATAGCTTTGACCTAGTTTATTTCAACATACTAAATCAAAAATAATTATACTTTATTGGAAAAAATATGAATTCTTTATGTGCAAAATTGGCTTGGTTGACCATAATGCATTTTATCAAAATATATTTCAGTATGCCAGGTGTAATAGAGCTTTCTATAATATACACAATAAATACAAAATAATTTTGCAAAATGACCAAAATTCAGAAAAAACAACAAAATTATAAATCAAAGTACATAAGAATATTGTCAGTTATCTATACTAAAGATCATTTCACAGTCTTCCCTTTAAACAAAGATTTTCTTGGGGGGGGAGAATTGGGGGGGAGGCTGGGAAGGGATGTGAAGGGTAAACGAAGGAGAAGGCTGCAATGCTTGATAAGAAATGTACGCATTATCCTGCCCATGTAATTGTAACCCCTCTGTACAGTATGTTCACAAAAAAATTTAAATTAAATTAAAAAAAAAAGATTTTCTTTGACAGAATTAAGCCCCAAATTTGAAGAATTAAACTTTTCCTCCTCAAGGCTTCAGGAATAGCAGGCTCTCCTTCAAACCTACAACTGTCTCAACAGAACAGACCATGGAAGTGGAGAGGAACAGGCTCTTCAGGGAGAAGGGATCTGGAGTTGGCTCCAATTCACTCATCTTGGGCCAAATACATGATATCTAATTTTAGGACTAATTTGGTTTTTATGTAACCCATTAGCAACTTCTTTTATCATGGAAAATTCTTATCTAATATTCAGTCCTTAGCTGTACTTAAACTGTACTAAAGAAATTTGGGACATTAGGACACTTAAAAACAAAATGCAAATTTGTGAATATTAATTTTTAATATGCATACTGCTACATTTTTTCTTTTGGTAATTATTTTAATCTATGTACAACTGAAAAGTAAAGTGGCAATCCAGGGTGGTGGCACACCCCCATAACTGCTGTACTTAGGAGGCTGAGACAGGAGGCTCACTTGAGCCCAAGAATTCAAGCCTAACTCAGGCAAACAATAAGATCCCACTCAGTCAGTTGGAACTAGAATTAACTGGAGTTGACATAAATCACCTCAGCCATGTTCTCAAGCTAAATATGGGAGGAATATCACTTGAAATTTTTATTTTAAATATGGATGTGAATAAACAAGTGAAAACAAATTTACAAACTTGTAATCCCAGCCCTCACGGGGCTGAGGCAGGACTCCAAGTTCAAAGCCAGCCTGGGCTACATAGTAAGAGCCTGTCTCAAAAAAAGAAAATTAAATTAAAAATAAAGTAGCACCGGGTGCCAGTGGCTCATGCTGAGATCTGAGGATCGCAGTTCAAAGCCAGCCCAAGCAGGAAAGGTTGTGAAACTCTTATCTCCAATAAACCACCAAAAAACTGGAAGTGATGCTGTGGCTCAAGTGGTAGAGCTATAACCTTGAGCTGAAGAGCTGAAGGACAGTGCCCAGGCCCAGAGTTCAAGCCCCACAACTGACAAAAAAAAAGTGACAAAAGAAGCAGAATAATTTGCAAAATGCAAAATCATACAACCATAAAAATTCCATATAACACAATATGGCTGGAGCCAATTGCTTACTATTGTATTATTATATGTAATTTTACAGCAAAACTACTCCTGTTTGAAAAAACTGACTCAAACTTTTTTCCCAAGTTCTAGCCATGATTCTACATGCTGCAATAAAATGTTTATAATAAACGCAGTTTGTCATAGAACTACAAGGTTCTATATTCTTAAATCATAAATTCAGCTTGAAATACCATAGCAATAATTTAAATACATGTACTGTAAAAAAGAGAAATCAATTGTAAACATACTTTATATTTTATTTGTGAAATAGTAAAAAGGGATTCCACAACTTTTTGATTCTTTAAGATTAAGAACAAAAGTACTAAGCATAATAAAATGTACAACCTGGAAGCATGGAAAAGTATAGACTACTGAATATAATAAACCAGTGTATTAAAAATCCAGTATTTTCATTAGTAAGACCTTTTCCTCCAAAAAGTTATGCTTACTGCTATTATAAATAAACTTCACATTAAGGCATCTGTCATTATGCATGAGAAAAAATTAAGGGAATAAGTACTGTAAAACTTTTCTATTATTACAGATATTATCAGTTTTAAAGGTTTTCGTATGGTAGTAAATATCTTTGAACATATTACAAATATAATTCGAATGTTTCCCTATGTCACTGAATCATATACATTAACGTTGTCGTATGTGACACTTTAATGAACAAATAAGCAGGCAAAGTCAACTTGAAATGGATGAGAAAGAACTAAATTTAAAAGATGAGAAATCCTTAAATTATATATATGGGATTTTAGCTAAGTCACAAGCTCCATCTCATGACTGAGCTGCTGTCAAGCTCAGAAGGGCTTTGTGAGATCAAATGAGAAAACATTTAGCACAGTGCAAAACATGGAACAAACAAGCAGTATTTCCATAAGTCAAAATATGCCATCTCTAATATTAATGACCTGGTCCTTTTACATTCACTTGAGATTTCCCAGTTTGGGCCAATTAGCCAGTTGTAGTATAAATGGAACAAAACCAAACAATTTCTCAATTTTAGCTTCTAGAATTTGATTTGAGTAGGAAATCACTGCTTGATGGGCTCAGGGTACCTCTTGACACTTCCTAAAAAATGAAGAGTGTGCAGGCTGCACAGATATCCTGGTTCCTGGCTTTTGTTGTATCTCCCCTAGAGATACCTCCACCTGTACCTCCTCCCTATCTATCACCACGATGGGTATACAGGGTTCCTTAAAGAATGCTTTCTTATAACAGCACAGGATGAAGAAACAGAGCTGGAGTCCATCTCAGGTCTAATCTATGTTATGAGGAACACAGCTATGGGAGATGTGAACAAGAAACCAGGTGTGTGCTGAACAGATGTGGGGTCTGGGAGAAGATGAGTTGTGGTACTGCAGACTGTGTCTTTGATACACTGACTATACATTCTAAGGAAGGACTGTACAACATTCCTCAATGCATTTGTGTGTGTGCTGGTCCTGGGGCTTAAACTCAGGTTCTGGGTGCTGTCCTTGAACTTTTTTGCTCAAGGATGGTTCTCCTCCATTGAACCATAAATCCACTTCCAGCTTTTTTTGGTACTTAATTGGTCAAACTTCTTTGTCTGAACTGAATAAAAATTGCAAACCTCAAGATCTCAGCATCCTGACTAACTAGAATTAACTGGCATAAGACACAGGCCCCTGGCCCCAGGGTATTCTATCACTAGATTCTAGAGGGTAAAACAGATGAGAATATACTTGGGGGTACTGACTCTTCTAGTCCTGGTTCTAAACATTCCAGGGTTAAATCTGGCAACAGTTACCTTTTTAATTCCTGAAGAATCATTTTACTTACAAGGTCAACTTCCTAGCTTCCACTCCATTAAGCATGCATCCCCAAGGAAATAAACACTCAGCAATGAAGTCATTTTCAAGTTGATGAGACTCTGATTTTTCTAAGGAAACCTTATATTCTGCCTCTAAACCTTAAAAATTTATGAATCAACATCTTAAGACCTAGAATTATAATTACTTTGAGGAGAAGACAGCATGAATCACAGTACCATGGCAATTAATCTCATTAATAAGAACTGGTAGTACTAGTGGCTCAGAGGTAGAATTAAAGGGTAAGCACTTATTTTGGCCTATTAACCCTCATACCACTAAGAATTGAAGAATATACTAGCCGGGTGTCAGTGGCTCACGCCTGTAATCCTAGCTACTCAGGAGGCTGAGATCTGAGGATCGCAGTTCAAAGCCAGCCCGGGCAGGAAACTCTGTGAGACTGCAATAAACCTCTCAGAAAACCAGAAGTGGCACTGTGGCTCAAGTGGTAGAGCACTCGCCTTGAGCTGAAGAGCTGAGGGATAGCACCCAGGCCCAGAGTTCAAGATCCATGACTGAGTATATATATATATATATATATATATATACACTATTGCACCCATTTCAAAGATAAGTACACTGATGTTTACAGAGATTACCTGATTCACCCAGGGTCATACAAATAAGTAAGTGCAAATCTTCCAACTCTCTCTTCTTTTTGTTGGTCATGGGGCTTGCACTCTAGGCTTGGGCGCTGTCCCTGTGCTCTTCAGCTCAAGGCAAGAGCTCTACTGCTTGAGCCATAGCGTCACTTCCAGTTTTCTGGTGGTTAACTGGAGATAAGAGTCTCACAGACTTTCCTGCCTGGGCTGGCTTTGAACTGTGATCCTCAGATCTCAGCCTCCTGAGTATCTAGGATTACAGGCGTGAGCCACCAGCGCCCAGCTACTTCAAACTCTTATCCGACCCTTCAACCCATATTTTCAATCCTATCTTGTATTCTAGTGACAAAAAGTTAGGTCTCATTCTTGTTGTTATAAAGGAAAATGACAGTGTGTTTGTATAAATTTAGCTTGATTAGAATTTGGTTTCAGATTTCCTTCCAGTCAAACTTCCACTCCCTTAAAGGAAAAATTTCCTATTAAAAACAAAAGCAGGAAGTAGAGCTGTGGCTCAAAGTGGTAGAGCACTACCCTTGAGCAAAAGAGCTCAGAGACAGCAACCAGGCCCTGAGTTCCAAAAAAAAAAAAAAAAAAACAACCAAAAAAACCAGAAATATAGACTGCTGTTTACCAGAATAAGGTTTATAGTGTTTTTAAATAGGGGAGGGGTTTTAAAAATCTGCATCCAAAGTGAACACATTATCTGTGGTTTCTGCCATAACTGCAAAACGCTGGTACTCTGAAACTCGTTTCTCAAAGAAGTTTGTTTTCCCTTCTAAAGAAATGTTTTCCATAAAATCAAAGGGATTTTCTGCATGAAAAACCTGAAAACAAAAGAAGTGTCATTAGTCATTCTGAAGAAGTCAAATTATATCACACAGAAAAGCAGAACTGACCCGAAATCCTGAGCTTGCATGTCCTGACATCTGCCTAGTCACTGACAGGGTCACCCTGACAAATTTTCATGTTACTTACTAAGCTCTCAAAGAAACTATACTGCTATCCCTTAAAAATTATTATCCCTTAAAGTATTATTTCAGGAAATACAATACTTAATATTGACTGGAGGAAAATGTTTTCACAGCTCGAGTAACCCAATATACCCTAGAGACTCCAGCCAGTTTTCACAGGTGTTAGTTACTAGTAGTTTGTCACTACACATGATCTACAAACTGCTGTAGTGTCCTGTAGTTCTAAATACATTTCTTAGTTCATAAAGTAATAACCAACAAATTGACAATGAGGAACCATGATGAGGAAAGATAAAATAAATAAAATAAATGTGACATGCACATTGTTTCTTTACTCCTTCTGAATTCAAGAAACATAGTTGGAAACACTTTATAGAAACTAGAGGTAGTTCATGGATTCACAAGGCCCAAAAGAATAAGAGTTCTCATTTTAGGAGAATCAGAGCAGCAATGTTCAATGTCACAGCTAAGAATATATTCAAATAACCTAACTTTTAAAAGTGAGCAGATTTTAATACACATAGGTGTTTCTTTAAAGAAGATATACAAAAGGCAAACAAGCACATGAAAAGATGAAAAGATTATAAATAAATCATGAAACCATCATACAAAGGAAAGAAGAGTACCAAAAAGCCAATTCCATTTATAACAAATGGACTATACAGAACAGGCAAATCTATAAAGAAAGAAATTAGATTAGTGGTTGCCAGGACCATAGTTGTGGGGCAGGGAGCAGGGGAATGACTGATGGCTCATTGGAATAGATTTTCTCCTTGGAGTGATAGAAATGTTTTAAAGTATATTGCTATGATGGTTGCACAAATCTGAATAGAGTTAAAAATCACTGAGTTGTTCATTTTAAATGAATTACATGAATATCCATCAATATCCCAACAACATTACTTAATGACATAGAAGAAGCAATCCAAGAATTCACATGGAATAATAGAAGACCCCAAATAGCATAGACAATCCTTAGCAGGAAGAACAGTGCTGGAGGAATATCAATACCAAACTTCAGACTCTATTGTAAAGCCATAGTTATTAAAAAAAAAAAAACAGCTTAGTACTGGCACATGAACAGGCCTAAGGACCAAGGGAATAGAAGACTCAGAAATGAACCCACAGACCTATAGCCATGTAATATTTGATAAGGGAGCCAAAGACACAGGATGGAAACACAGCCTCTTCAACAAATGGTGCTGGCAGAATTGGTTATACATGTGCAAAACACAGAAGTTAGATCCTTATATATTAAATACCCTGTACCAGAATCAACTCCAAATGGATCAAAGAGCTCAAGGTAAGAGCAGATATCCTGAAAATATAACAGAAAGGGTTAGGGGAAACACTAGGGCTCCTTGGCACAGGTTGAAACTTCCTAAGATCCGGAAACAACAAATCAAAGAAAGGCTCGATATATGGGATTGCATAAACTGCAGAGCTTCTGCAGGGCAAAGGACATAGCTAGCAAGATAAATAGAAAGCCCACAGATTGGGAGAAGATTTTCACTAGCTATACAACACACAAGGGGCTTCATATCAAAAATATATTCAGAGCTCAAAAAATTAAACCCCTCAAAAACAAATCCTCAAAGAAAAACCCCCCCCATTAATAAGTGAACTACAGAATTAAAAAGAGACTTCTCTGTAAAGGAAATAAGAATGGCCAAGAGATACATGAAGAAATGGTCAACATCTCTGGTCATAAAAGAAATGCAAATTAAAACAACATTGGGATTCTACCGCATCCCAATTAGAATGGCCATTATCAAGAAAACAAATAACAGGAAGTGGCGCTGTGGCTCAAGCGGTAGAGCACTCACCTTGAGCTGAAGAGCTCAGGGACAGCGCCCAGGCCCAGAGTTCAAGCCCCACAACTGACAAAAAAAAAAGAAGAAGAAAACAAATAACAGATGCTGGCCGGGATGTGACCAAAAGGGAACGCTACTACACTGTTGGTGGGAATGTAAACTGGTTCAGCCACTCTGGAAAATAGTATAGAGCTTCCTCAAAAGACTAAACATAGAGCTCCTCTATGACCCACCAATCCCACTCCTGGGCATTTACCCAAATGACCACAAACAAGGTCCCACTAAAGCAGAACTATGTTCACTGCAACATTATTTAACATAGCCAAGAGATGGAACCAACCCAGATGCCCCTCAGTAGATGAATGGATCAAGAAAACGTGATATAATATATATATATATATATACACACACACACACACACACACACACACACACCAATGGAACTCTATGCTTCCATCAGAAAGAATGACAATCGTCCCATTCACAAGGAAATAGAAAGACTTTGCAAAAAATCTTATTAAGTGAAGTAAGTCAGACCCAAAGAAACACAGGCTCTATGTTTTCCCTCATTTGCAATAATTAGTATATGCCTAGTATAGTCCTGGCAGAGATTCACTATAGCCCAATAGCTATGTACATATGACCACAAAAAGTGATATCAATCAAAATGATCTTCGTGATATGGAAACAAGAGGTTTCAATTTTGCAAAACCAACTTTTTTTTTAATGTGTCACTGTCACTGTCATGAACATTTTGAAAGTAGAATAGTATACTACAAACGATTTTAGTGAGAAAATATTTGGGGGACTTTACATGAGTACTTTGACTACTAGTAACACTTATAAAAACATTTTACCTTTGAGAATCCAAGTTCTACAAGTAATCTGTCAGCTACGAACTCAATATACTGTTTCATCAAAACACAGTTCATTCCAATGAGGCCAACTGGCAAAGCTTCTGTCAAAAACTCCTGGCATATAAATAAAACCAGAATAAGGTACAATGACAACATAATAAATATGCATTTTCTGAATAAACAGAGTGTCAGTTTTAGTACTATTCTAAGATTCATTTTATTTAAGGACTGTAGGATAAATTAACGTGGCAAGTGATAGTCATTTGATTACAAATGTTTGGGGAATTTCTAGTTATATTATTTCACTTTCCAGAAGGGCCAAAATAAAGAAACTACTATCAAATTCACATATTTTTCTCAATAGAAAAAGATGCTTTGTTCTGAAATGCTAGAAAAGGATTCACCAAAGATAATTGTCAGAGAGTGTATAATTATCAAAGGCAAGCGGGAAAGAGAAAATTCAATAAAGACTACAAGAGCCTAGTGCTAGTAGCTCACATCCATAGCCCAATTAAACAGGAGGCTACCATCCAAGGGTCACAGTTGGAAGCCAGACTGAGCAGAAAAATCTAAGTGACTCTAATCTCCAATTAAGCAACAAAAAGCTGGAAGTGAAAGAATGATTCAGGCAGTAGAGACTAGCCATTACCAAAAAGCCAAGCAAGAGTGTGAGACCCTAAGTTCAAGCCCCAGTACCGGCACAAAAACAAACAAAAGAAAGACTATGAGAAAAAATAGAAATGGATTTTGAAATTGGAATATTAAAAAACAATGTTAAAAAAGTGTTAATAGAAAAGAAAATGAAGTCATACTAACCATTTAAAATGAAAACTGCAAAACCATTAAAAATACATATACTTTCTCCCCTCTCAACATAAAAACCATACCTATTAACTTATGCAGTATTTAAAAATCCTAAAATTTGTCAGGCACTGGTGGGTCATGCCTGTAATCCTAGCTACTCAGGAGGCTGAGATCTGGAGGATCGTGGTTCAAAGCCAGCCTGGGCAGGAAAGTCCATGAGACTCTTATCTCCAATTAACCACCAGAAAACCAGAAGTGAAGCTGTGGCTCAAAGTGGTGGTGCGCTAGCCTTAAGCAAAAGAGCTCAAGGAAAGTGCCCAGGCTCTAAATTCAAGTCCCAGAACTGATTAAAAGAAAAAAAAAAAAAAACAACTGAAATTTTATTTTTAAGTTAGTTCGCTACAACGATAAAAGTACACCCTAAGTGGAACATCTAGTTTTTTCCTAGCCAAAAATCTTTATATGCCATAAATTTAAGTTTTAATACTCAATAATTAATTTGCTTATTGATTTATGACATATGAATATTTGGTGTGTGGCAAGCTGGGTAACCTGCTACATTATTGAGACTATAAAACCAACAAAAAATGGGGGGAGGGGGGAGGCTGGGAAGGATGGGAAGGGTAAACAAAGGAGGGGGCTGCAATGCTTGGTAAGAAATGTACGCATTATCCTGTCCATGCAATTGTAACCCCTCTGTACAGTATATTCACAAATAAAATAAAATAAAATTTAAAAAATAAAAAATAAAAAAAAGAAATGTACGCATTATCCTGCCCATGCAATTGTAACCCCTCTGTACAGTATGTTCACAAATAAAATTAAATTAAATTAAAAAAAAAACCAACAAAAAACTATCTTTGCCCTCCAGTAGCTAAAAATACATAGAGCTACAATAATTATAACAGTTACAATAATTATAACAGTTATGGTAAGAAATTTGACAGATAAATCAATGGAACAGAAAAAAAAGCTCTGCAACTAGTTTATTTACAAAGAAAACCTAAATATCTTTAATATATAATAATCTTACAAACCAAATCATAAGCATGCAATAATTACAATATACCATGTACTAGTACTGTTAAACTGACTATATAAACTTGCTGATAATTGTTTTGACCTACACAATAACATGACAGCACAATACTGGTATAGCTGAACACAGTGGTACTTGCCTGTAGTCCCACCTACTCAGGAGGCTGAAGTGGGAAGACTATATTGGCCCAGAAGTGCAATGTAGTGATTAGCCATCTCAAAAAGTTAAAATAAAATAAAGTATGAGAATGGTACAGACAACAGAAAAAGGCAGGTGTGCTGACTACACAAACTCGCCTACTTACCTGCTCAATTCTGACAGCATCAACAATGATTTCTCTGACCCTTTCTTCTGAAGGCTTGTTTACTAAGTATTGAAACATCAGGCAAGCAAAGTCACAGTGAAGTCCCTAAAGAGAAAACAAATATCATAGTGGAAGAATTCCTGGGGGGGGGGGGGTCAGTCATGGAGTTTGAACTCAGGGCCTAGGTGCTATCTCCGAGCTTTTTCACTCAAGGTTTTTCACTCTACCACTTTAAGCCACAGCACCACTTCCTATTTTCTGTGATTAATTGGAGATGAGTCTCTTGGTCTTTCCTGCCTGGGCTGGCATCAAACCATGATCCTCTGAGCTCAGCCTCCTGAGTAGCTAGGATTACAAGTGGCAGAAGAACTTTTAATCAGCTATTTGCACCCCCTGATGTTTCCAGCATCTTACCAAGTAGGTCCCAAGAGTGCCAGATGAAAGAGATGGCCAGGAACTTCCCTTCAAATCTCATTAAATACCAATTCAGTAACATTAAATGGCAGCAAATATTAACATTAAACAATTATTTTCAGGATCTGTTGAACTCAAAATCTGACTTGTAGCAGTGAAACCATGAAATCCCTTTGTGAGGAGGAGCAAGAGAGGGAGAGAGAAAGAGAAAGGGAAAGAGAGAGAAGGAGAGGAAAGAGGAAGGGAGGAGGGAGGAAAGGAGGAGGAGGAAGGGAGGGGAGAGGAGGGAGGGAGGGAGGGAGGGAGGAAAAAAGAGAGAGAAATTCACAAACAAAAGACTGCAACTAAAGCATTTTGGAAAGCATTTCTGGATCAGGAACTTATGATCCTTCTGCCTCCAGCTATCAATAAACATTTCTAAACTACACATAGGCAGTAATAATTTTATAAGCAACAAGGAAGGTAGGAGGAGGATGGGATGTATGCTTTAATGGATTATAAATCAGAGTTCCTTGGGTGTTTCAAATGAATTAACAAAACCTCAAACAACTACAAAGGAAACCCCTCAAAACAAACACTGCATTCCAAGGATTATTAACCTAATTGTCATTCCCAGAAGAAACTCTCAAACTAACCTCCTTCAACAACTAATCTTAGGAAATTTACTGCAGTAGACCTGATTCAAATTACCAAAGGCTGTGTCAACTAAATTACAGAGAGATGTTAAAGAAAGTGCTAATTAGAACTGACAGCTTGTTATTTACTGCAGAGACCAGTAAATTAAAGGTAGGCATTCATAATTGTTATATCAATTAATGAATGAAATTAGTTTCAATGAGGTTGGGAAAATAACCTTGACACGGATTTTATCATAAAAAAATAATACGTAATAAATAGGACAGGTCAATAGAGAAGAAATTGGAAAAATCCCCCAAGTACTTGAATTAAAGTTAAGTTAAATTCTAACATTTTATTACACTCAACTGAGTATATTTAGATTCCATTGTATAAATAATTCCATTAAATAAATTCCAACTACATTAGAAAGTTAAATGTTAACAAGCAAAGAATCAAATATATGTGAGCATTTAACTTATCTCTGGAAGTGTATAGCACATAAAATTTAAGATTTTTTAGGCTATGTTGGGAGGTAAAGTACCAAGGAACTGGGAGGACTAAAAAGAGGGAATGAATGAGAGTAAATATGCTCAAAGTACTTTATATACTTTATATATGCATGAAAATAGAACAATGAAAAGTTTTTAAGAAATGGGAATAAGGAAGAGAGGGATGAGTTAGATTAGGGTACACTGCTTACATGAGTAAAAATGTCACAATGAAACTTCCCTGCACAACTAATACATGCTAATGAAAAATTTTTAATGTAAGAGTTTATAAGTTATATAAACAAAATAAAGTTACTTTGTTATATGTTTTGCAATAAATATTAAAAATGAAGCAAATTCATAAAATACTTAATAAAAACTCTCATCCTATCTAGAATACAACAATGAATAAGGCAAGTGTAAACTTTCTCTTTAAATATTATAGACTAACATAAAAATAACCTTAAGCCAAGAACTAGTGGGGGACAGGGGTCTGAGGATTGCAGTATGAAGCCACTCCAGGCAAACAGATCTGTGAGATTCTTTATCTCTAATGGACCAGCAAAAAGCCAAGTGGCTCAAGTGGCAGAGCATCAGCCTTGAGCAAAAGAGCCAAGAGTGAGCACTAGGGACTGAGTTTAAGCACTAGTACCAGCAATAAATAAGTAAATACATAAATAAATAACCTAAAAATAAAAAATAAATAACCTTAAAATAGTCTAGGCACTAGTAAGGAAAATATTACAAGCTGGCAGCTCACAAGTGAACACTGAGAATAGGAGACAAACTAGGACCAGGTCTCCATGTTACAGAACTTAAGAGTCTAGCAGAGCCAAGAGGTAAGTGCAATGTATGGATTTAAGAAAGGGAAAGATTGGGCTGGGAAGGTGGCTCAGTGGTAGAGCACTTGCCTCGCATGCCTGAGGCCCTGGGTTCCTCAGCACCACGTAAGCAAAAAGAAAAAAGTCGCAAGTGGCGTTGTGGAGCATTAGCCTTGAGCTGAAGAGCTGAGGGACAGCGCCCAGGCCAAGTTCAGGCCCCACAACCAGACCCCCCAAAAAAAAAAAGAAAGAAAGAAAGAAAGGGAAAGATTTAGCTTTCAAAGGAAAACATAAACGAAAGAGTGGCTTATTTTACCTAATTGGATCAGTAAAGTTTTGACTTTACTTGTTTGAGAAGTGGTCAACAAGTAGAAAAAAAACAGGGTAGGGCCAGCATGGTGGCTCACACCTAGTAATCCTAGCTACTCAGGAGACTGAGATCTGAGTATCACAGTTCAAAGCCAGCCCAGGCAGGAAAATCCATAAGACTCTTTTTTGTTGTTGTTGTTGGTGGTGGTGGTGGTCATGGGGCTCGAATTCTGGGCCTGAGCCCTGCCCCTAAGCTCTTCAGCTCAAGGTGAGCGCTCTACCACTTGAGCTACAGCCACTTCCCATGAGACTCTTATCTCCAATTAACCACCAGAAAACTGGAAGTGGTGCTGTGGCTCAAGCAGTAGAGCACTCGCTTTCAGCTGAAGAGTGCAGGGACAGCGCCCAAGCCCAGAGTTTAAGCCCCACAACTAACAACAATAACAAAACAAACAGGGTAGGAAAAATGGGAAAGATATTTCAGGCAGAGGGAGAGTGATAGCAAACACTCACTGCAGAAGGGAAAACAGAAGGAAGAACAAGTTTTAGAAGACAGATTATTGATTTCTAAAATAGCAGGTTGTTGATACTTGTGAAGTCTTCCAGCAAAGGAAAACAAGAAAAACACCTAACATGCATTTGAATATAAGGGTTTGGAGCTCAAGAAAGACTAAGATAAAAGATACAATGTAGGGAGTTAAGAGCATTTAGATAGTAGCTGACTGCACGTGAACATGACCAACCAGAAGGTGACATCAATATTTAAGGATGAGCAGAAAAATGATAAGACACCTCAAGGGAAAATGCAGTGTCTTCCAAGCCAAGGAACACGTGACTTCCTATTTTCTTTTAATTACCAGAATATTTATATTGGTAGAAGCTTTTCCTAAGAGAAAGGAAACTAAACGAATACCACCTCTGAATACAAATACAAACTAGAAGAACAGTTCATTCCTTACTTCATCTCTGCTGATGAGTTCATTGGAAAAAGTGAGTCCAGGCATGAGGCCTCTCTTCTTTAGCCAGAATATAGCAGCAAAAGATCCAGAGAAGAAAACTCCTTCTACTGCAGCAAAGGCCACCACTCTTTCCCCTGGGAGACAGAAGAGTTTCACTTCCTGAAAAAGCATGCACTGTAGACAAAAATTTATGAACATACAAATTCTCTTTTTTACAATAAGATAAATATTTTGCCAAGAAATAAAATGACCATTACTGCTATAGCCACGAGTCCCCAAAGAAAGAAATTTTCTACCTCTACCTGCTAAAACAGAAAAATAAGTCTACTTTAAATCCTGTGTCTTGTCCAGGCCTTGGTATATGAACAAAAGACAGCCTTCCATATCAATAAAAAGGTGATTTGCACCAGATACCAGTGGTTCACACTTGAAATCCTACCTCTCTAGGAAGCTAAGATCTGAGGATTTAGTTCAAAGCCAGCCCAGGCAGGAAAGGGTGTGAGACTCTTACCTTCAATTAACCACCCAAAAGCTAGAACTAGAGCTGTGGTTGAAGTGGTACAGTGCTAGCCTTGAACAAAAACCTCAGGGACATCACCTGAGTTCAAGCCCCAAGAGTGGCACAAAAAAAAGGTGGTTTGTCTATAAGCTACATATGACTCAAACACATTTATGAGTATAATTTGTATATATGTTTATGTATGTGTGTGTATGGAATTAGAGTAAGAAACAGAATGCAGATTTTATGACAAATGTCTTCCTCTCTGAGCGAAGAGGTTGTTGAGGTTTATATTTTTCAAAACTTATGGTTCTTGACATACTATGAAAAAATATTGCCAATCATGTACAATTTTAAAAAATGTAGATAAACCAAGCTGAAAATAATAACTATCTTTTGGGCAAAATATCCTATCATATAAGTAAAAATACTATTTTCTGCTAAACATATATGGGCCAACTTAAGAGGTTACTCACTATTAGGTAAGGGCTTTGTTAAAAAAAAAAAAAATAAGGGCTGGGAAGGTGGCTCAGTGGTAGAGCGCTTGCCTTGCATGCCTGAGGCCCTGGGTTCAATTCCTCAGCACCACATAAGCAAAAAGAAAAAAGCCGGAAGTGGTGCTGTAGCTCAAGTGGTAGAGCACTAGCCTTGAGCTGAAGAGCTGAGGGACAGCGTCCAGGCCCTGAGTTCAGGCCCCAGGACCGGACCCAAAAAAAAAAAAAAAAACCCTAAAATGTCTCTACTGGTATCATTAGTTCTGATAACCTCTCTAGGGGAAGTATAATCCAAAAGATATTTGTAAGTTACTATGTCACAATACTGCATATGCTTAAGAGAAATACTTACGAAGTACAGGCTCATTGTCTTTGGTGCATAATGACATAGTCTCATAGTCTTCTATGAGACAAAGGCAGTTAAGTGCTTTAGGAAACCATTGACCTCTGTTGTAAATGACATCCTGGTTTACATCTCAGTACTTATTGCAGAACCAAACACACAGCCCCTACTTATTTAATACAACCAGAATTCAGTGGAAATTATAGAAATGGTAGGGGATAAGAAACATTAAAATCTATTTTTAGAAATTACAAGCATTCGATGAAGAAAATTAATATGTATCTAATTTTCAAAACAATGACTAAGTTAAAAAATGGTAGAGTGCTTGTCTCACATGCATAAAACCCTGGGTTCCATTCCTCATAAACAGAAAGGCCAGAAGTGGCCATGGCTTAAGTGATAGAGTGCTAGCCTTGAGCAAAAGAAGCTCAGGGACAGTGCCCAGGCCTTGAGTTCAAGCCCCAGGACTGGCAAAAAAAAAAAAAGTCAAAGAATACTCTGGTTTTTCCTTATTCTCTTCCCTGACTATCTTAAATCAATACATCAATTATATCAAATAAATTCATCCAAATTATCTATATTAAACTAAAACATGAAAGTCTTTTACTTCTGTAGCACAATTTTAAAATCCATTTTTGGAAAAAATAAATCCAGAAGTATAAATTAAATAAGTGCTTACTGAGCACCTACTTTGTCAAAGGAATTATAGCAAAGACAAATCTGTAAATGCTACAATTTAATATTAATTATCATATGCTTGAACCATGATTCTCCCATCCTCAGTCTCCTAAAGTAGCAAGGATTATAGGCATGAGCTTGGCACCCAAGCCTAACAAGCATTTCTAAAAGTAGGTGCTGTAATACTTAGTAAAATATATGTAACTCTTATTTACCTGTCATTATGCACCAACATCTCAACTTTTCCAGTTCTAAGTTATTAAACAAAATAGGTAACAGCTTTATTTTATGGCTGATTTCCAATTAATCATTAGGAATCATGATAATAACAAAAGCCTGTAGTTCTTTTCCACACTATGAATTTGATTACTACCACAAGAAATAGAACCATATCACCTAAGGCAAATTTAATTATACATAAATTAGAGCTAGATACCAAAAGTCGATTTTCTATCTGCTATCCACCGCAGGGCCCAATCTGCTTTTTTCTTAACAAATGGCATTGTTTCAATTGCATTAAATAAAAATTCCCTGTAGAAACAAAAGAATTCATGGAAAAGTTACTCACTTATTTTTCTTAAATTTCAATAGTTTAATCATAGACACTAATTGTAAGCCTATGGTAGTTGCATTTCCTACATTTTTGCATGCTCATAAAATACAGAATGATCTGGCTTGATATAAAAATAACAAAACATGATGGTTTAATTCATAAACAGAATGTGCTAATAAACAGTTTTTTAAGTTACTATACAGTATCCAAAGATTAACTGGGCCTTATAAGGTTTGTGTTAAGTCAAACAAATATTACTAAGCAACAGAAAACAAAAAATACCATACTCAAAATCATCACTTGATATCTGAATAACCATTCATTAGCATTTAGTTTTCAGAATAAATTCTTCTCTTAAACAATAGTAGAAACTTTCTAAATAAAATTTCAGCAGTAATACCTTTTCTTGGGATCTCTGATATAAGTGTCTATTAGCAAACTGTACATCTCAGAGTGAACATTCTCGATTAGAATTTGAAAGCCATAGAAACAGCGAGCCTCCGGAACCTGTACCTCCTGACTAAAGCGCTCCACCTAAGAAAATGAAGGGAAAAGATAGATTCACTGCTATGAGATGTCATGGAACACAAGATTAAAACACTGTGCAACCACATTTGAATATCAGAATTATCACTTAAAAACTGCCAGTCACACAACAAACAAGCCAAAAACACTTTATAAATCATTTTAACAAGAACCTTAAGCAGTAGTATTTATCCACTTAACACGCCCAAAATTTTGCTGTACGCTTTTGGTTTGATGTTCTTTCCCCTTGTCTTCTTTTTTCTCTTTTCAGTTGCTCTACCATTGAACTACACCACCCACTCCACATAAAGCCCATAGAAACAAATAGATTTTAGAGTGTCTATTAAAAATAGAAATTTGGCTTTGAAGAATTTTGGATTTTTGCTAGCAGACAGATCCACTGAAGCCTCTTCTAATCTACAATGGAAATTTGTATCTTCTATGCATGTTCCTTAACAACAAACTGTACATTCTAATCAAGAACCACAGCACATTTTTAAATAAAATGAAAATCCAGAACCTAGTGATATATACAGAGCCTGAAGCCATTATCAGTTGCAAGTTCTCTACTAGGTTTTTATATATGAGAATAGAAATCAAGTTTGTGCATTGTGCCACTTCTGTTGTTGCTTTACAGGGTTAGATTCTAGGTAAGCACTTACCACTGACCCACATTCCTTGTTCTATATTGTATGTAGTTTTTATTGGTATAGATTATGCTTGATTTTATAGCATTTAATAGGTCAAATGATATATAAGACAGATAAGCTATCCCTTCCTCTGACACTTTATCAGAAAAGTAATTTTAAGAATTAAGCTTTATCTAGCCCATTCCTTAGATTTTCTTTCTCAGAATCAACCTAAAGAGTCTTACTAACATTATCAGCATTTAACTGCTGAATAGGAACAAAAGTGTAATAAAATGAAGAATCTTACCAAATTTTCATTTACAATTCCATCACTAGCTGCAAAAAAGGCTAAGATGTGAGAGATGAAATACTTCTCATCGGATTTAAGTTTGTTCCAGTGAGGAAGATCCTTTGATAGGTCAACCTAGAATAAAAAGATTTTTGATTTCTTTTAAACTTGGAGTTAAAGTTTTTGGAAAGCTAATTTCCACCCCAAAATTAAGAAGTTGTATCCTATTACTAGTAAACTGGTGAAAAAGGAAAGAAGACAACATAAACATCACAAAGAAACAAACTAACACAAAACATTATGTTAAAAAACAGTAATACGGTATTCAGATTAATAGCATACTGTATTTGCTACTTGGATGGATTATAGCTACATTTGTTACAGGGAAGGAAGAAAGCTACTGGGACTCAATATATGAATTTGGGAAGCAGGATAAAATATTTAGTCCACTGCTGTTCAACATATCATCTTAGAAAAATCTCATACGCTTCATAATAACCTCATAAACATTTAAAATATACAACTGTCCTTTATATGTGATTGTGGCTGGGCACAGGTGGCTCACACTTGTAATCTTAGTTATTCAGGAAGCTGAGATCTGAGGATTAGGGTTCAAAGCTATCCCTAGCAGGCAAGTCTGTGAGACTATCTCCAATCACCAAAAATCGAGAAGTAGAGCTAAGGCTCAAGTGGTAGAATATCAACCTTGAGGGGGAAAAAAGCTCATATTGGGTGTTCTTGGCTCACACCTGTAATTTTAGCTACTCGGGAGGCTGAGATCTGAGGATCACAGTCCAAAGCCAGCCTGGGCAGAAAAGTCTGTGAAACTCTTATCTCCAATTAACAGTGGTGCTGTGGCTCAAGTAGTAGAGTTTTAGCCTTGAGCTGAAGAGCTCAGGGACAGCGCACGGGTCTAGAGTTCAAACTCCATGACCAGAAAAAAAAAAAAAAGAAAAAAATATATAATGTATTTTCCCCTTCATTTATTCTAAATCCTAATATCTTTGATTCTCAAAAAAAGAAAAAAAAACTAATATTCTATTCTCCCACAAACAATTTTTTTTCCGTACTAGGATTTAAATTCAGGGCCTGGAGACAGCTGGGCTGACCCTCTGCTACTTTGAGCCATGCTTTTTGAGCCCTGGTTTTTCCTGGTTATTTTATTTTATTTTATTTTTTGGGGGGGCCGGTCGTGGGGCTTGAACTCTGGGCCTGGGCACTGTCCCTCAGCTCTTCAGCTCAAGGCTAGTGCTCTACCACTTGAGCCACAGCGCCACTGCCGGCTTTTTTCTTTTTGCTTATGGGGTGCTGAGGAATCGAACCCAGGGCCTCAGGCATGCAAGGCAAGCGCTCTACCACTGAACCACCTTCCCAGCCCAATCCTGGTTATTTTAGAAATAGGAATCTACTAAACTTTTATGCCCAGGCTGGCCTCAAATGATGATCTCCAGAGAAGTAAGAATTAAAAGTATAAGCCACTGGCACCCAGCCTTTTATGGAACATGGTCCTTTTCAAAACTTATTCCTATTATTGTTTAAATGTTTGGTGAGCATATAACACATGACATTACACTAAGTTATGGAGAATATCATGGGCTGGGAAGAAAAAAAATACTTAAGTCTTTGATTTAAAGATAGTATCTTGTTATATGATCCAGCCTGGCCTTGAACTTGAAATTGTTCTATGTGTGCTGGGATTTTACCTCGTAAAACATATATGCTAAAAATCTATATTCATTTTATTAAGAGTTAAACTTAGGTTTAGCTGAGGGATATCTTCTTCATTCTTATGTATTATATGCCTTCAACTTTAAATGTCTTTTTTTTCTTTTGTTTTGTTTTGGTGCTGGTACTGTGACTTGAACTCAAGGCCTTGAGCTCTTGCTTAGCTTTTTTGCTCAAGGCATGAGCCACCAGTGTCTGGTATTCAAAATGTCTTATGAATTTTATTTATATTACATTGGTCATATTCCCACCAGACACACAAACTTCATCTCATTTCATCAAATTCTCAATCTCATAATCTATTCTAAACATTTGATACAAACTAGCTGCTATTGTTCTATTTAATACATGGCTGTTCCCATGTACTAAAAGCTTGGTTGGTAGCATGTGGTGGTACGTGGAGGTGGTGAACAAATGAAAAACACCCATGTACTCTACTTAATTCTCCAAACCATAAAAGCTTTCTAAAAACCACAGACGGTTAAGAGTCAGGTGTGCCAAGCATTTTGACCCAGTGTAAAAATAGCAGGTGTTCATTTTTGTCTGTCTCTGTGCTCTATATACTAACTGCCACATAACAAAGATGTTGACAACATAGCAAACATGGATACAGATGCAAAACTAGAATAAGAGAAGCTTCAGACATTGATGTCTTTCTGAATTCTAGGTTAAGATGAACTCAATCTATGTACAAAATGATAGCTTACATTTATTTATTGCATACTGTCAAGTACCATTCTAAATATCTCATTAATTCTCATACTAACCCAATGGGCCAGTTACTGCTACCCTTATTTATTGACAGAGGTTAAAAAACTTTCCTGCTTCCACAGCTAAGTGTCAGAACAGGCTGTGTGTGTGTGTGTGTGTACATGTATATATTTTTTGGTAAGAAAAGGGGTTGAACTCAGGGCCTCAAACTTGCTAGGCAGGTACCCTACCACTTGAGTCAGCCATTTTTTACTTTAGTTACTTTTTGGATAGGGTCTTCTGTTTTTTGCCTGGAGATGGCCTCAAACCATGATCCTCCTATCTATGCCTACTGTATAGCTGGGACTCCAGACTTGACCCACCATACCTATTTTGTTGACATGCAATCCTGCTAAGTTTTGCTCTAGCTGGACTTGAATCAAAGTCCTCTGAACCTTTGCCTCCTGAGTAACTAATTACCATCATGCCCAGCATCATACCTAGGCAGCCTGACTCCAAAGCTTGCATTTTTCAAGGGTGTATTTCCATATACACAATCAATCTCCTGACAGACAGATCTTTAGGTAGAACCAAATATATCTATCCAGATAGATATATCTAGCCATATAGATAGACAGTTTTGTATACAAACACAGCACAACTGTGTAAGTTGTTATGCAAATACCATCCAACATATTTAAAGTCTGTGTTCAGACTACAGAGCAGTCAACTGCATGACCAACTGTACTAAACAAACCTGCACATATTATTTGTTGTGTTCAAAACTTATTTCCAAGGTGGAAAAAACTCACAGTAACAGAAAGCATTTGACAGCTTTGTGTCAGAGCAGCTGTTCCACTGTCCATGCAGCTGAAGGCAGCACTTGTTAGGATGTGAAGTCAGCCAGACAGGCTCAAGAATGAGTGCATTGCCTGAATGTCAGTGTGTTCACATGACACTGCCTTTTGTGCACTCAGATAAGTCCCTCATGTGAAAGCAAGGTCTCTAAAACTTTTACACTTTCATTTTTATTGTGACTTCTTAAATTCTATTGCTTGTAAGCAAAGAGTAGTCCTATTTAGCCACAACAAACCAAAAGTCTATTCAAAATGGAAATATTTCACAAGCAAAATCTGACAGAATGACTACTTAGGATGCTGAGGCAGGAGGATCAAGAATACAAGGTTATCCTGAGCTACACAGAGAGAACCTTTCTCAAAAACAAACAAGCTGGGGGGCTGGGAAGGTGGCTCAGTGGTAGAGCTCTTGCCTTGCATGCCTGAGGCCCTGGGTTTGATTCCTCAGCACCACATAAGCAGAAAAAGCTGGAAGTGGGGCTGAAGCAGAAAAAGCCAGAAGTGGTGCTGTGGCTCAAGTGGTAGCGTGCTAGCCTTGGGCTGAAGAGCTGAGGGACAGCACCCAGGCCCAGAGTTCAGGCCTCACGACCGGACCCCCCCCCAAACAAAAAAAAACAAGCTGGAGATATCCGTAGTAACAACAGCAATTAAGATTGGCTAACCAGGCACTGGTAGCTCATGACTCAGGAGGCTGAGATCTGAGAATCTTAGTTCAAAACCAGCTTGGGTAGGAAAGTCCGTGAAATTCTATCTCTATTAAATTACAAAAAAGGCCAGAAATAGATCTCAAAGTGGTGGAGCCCTAACCTTGAGCAAAAGAAGCTGAGGGATAGCACTCAGGCACTGAGTTCAAGCCCCAGGATTGGCACCAAAAAAAAAAAGGGCTCGGCCATCAGCCTTGACAGATAAATCTAAATCTGAGAGAACTTTATCTCCATTTAACCAGCCAAAAGCTGAATCTATGGCTCAAGTAGTAGAGCACCAACCATGAGCATAAAAGCTAAGTGAGAGTATAGGCCCTGAACTCAGGCCTGGAGACTGGCACTCAAAAAATACATAAACCGGGATGTGGCCAAAAGGGAACCCTACTGCATTGTTGGTGGGAGTGTAAACTTGTTCAAACACTTTGGAAAGTAGTATGGAGGTTCCTCAAAAGACTCTACAGAGAGCTCCCCTATGACCCAGCAATCATACTTTTGGGCATTTACCCAAATGATCACAAACAAGGCCATACTAAAGCTACCAGCACGACTATGTTTATCACAGCATTATTCACCATAGCTAAGCTATGGAACCAACCCAGATGGCCCTCAGTAGATGAATGGATCAAGAAAATGTGGTTTGGGGCTGGGAAGGTGGCTCAGTGGTAGAGTGCTTGTCTTGCATGCGTGAGGCCCTGGGTTCAATTCTTCGGCACCACATAAACAGAAAAAGCCAGCAGCAGTGCTTGCCTCAAATGGTAGAGTGCTAGCCTTGAGCTGAAGAGCTGAGGGACAGCACCCTGGCCCAGAGTTCAGGCCCCACGACCAGCAAAAAAATAAAAAGAAAAGAAAATGTTATATATATATATATATATATATATGAATTCTATGCCTCCATCAGAAAGAACAACATTGCCCCATTTGTTAGGAAATGGAAAGACTTGGAAAAAATTATACTAAGTGAAGTAAGCCAGGCCCAAAGAAACATAGGTCCCATGGTATTCCTAATTTGTAATAACTAGTACACGTCTAGGACAAGCAGAAAAGGTCAAAAGCTATGTACATATGACCATATAAGATGATGTTAAGTGAAATGAACCCCAAGACAGGGACATAAGTGGTTTTTTTTCTTCCTTCTATTGTTTTTAATGTACTTATAATGTACTATGTGATTCTTTTGTTTCTTTTGTATGTTCTTCCCCCACAGTATAACTCATTTTCACTGTATCTGATTCCGGTGTCCTGCATCTTGTATATACATTTTTATAATTTGGGGAGGCAAAGAGATATAATAAAATGCTTAAATAAGGATACAGGTTGACCCATTCTAACAGTGAGATGTACAAGACACTAAGTTGAAAACAAACTTTCCAATTTTGGGTGGGAGGGGTTGGGGAGGGAGGAGTTGGGGAGGGAAGGAGGGAAGGGATGGTAGGGGAAAAACAAAGGAGGAGGTAATGGTAAGGTCCACTTCTGGATGGCTAGCAGACTCCACCCTCCTCAGGGCAAAGTCTCCACCCAGTACCTGCGTTACCTAGGCAACTGGGACACCTGGAAGAGGTCACATCTGCATCCGCTGAGGTCACATCTGAATTTGATGTGGCCACACTTTTCTCCGCCCATACCCCAGATAAGGCCTAGCCCAGGCCCAGACGCCTTCTCTCTGCTCTTTTCTAGCTCTTCTCTTTTCTAGCTATTTTCTCTCTTTTCTAGCTCTCTTAGCTCTTTCCCCCAGCTCTCTCTTTTTCCCAGGCCTTTCCCCACCGTGTGGAGGACCAAGATGGCATGGTGCCAGCCTGAACGATGAATAAAACTACCCCTTACCTGAATACCACGTGCATGGTGCTGTTCTTACACGGCTACCTCTTTTTAAAAACCTAACAGTAACAATGCTCGATGGGAAATGTACTCATTACCCTACTCATGTAACTGTAATCCCTCTGTATAGTATTTTTACAATAAAACATATATATGAAAGAAAAAAATACATAAGCCAGTCACCAGTGGCTCACTCCTGTAATCCTACCTACTTAGGAGGCTGAGATCCAAGTATCACAGTTCCAAACCAGCCCAGGCAGGAAACTCCATGAGATTCTTATCTTCAATTAACCACCAGAAAACAAAAAGTGGTGCTGTGGCTCAAGTGGTAAGAGTGCTTACCTTGAGCTGAAGAGCTGAGGTATAGCTCCCAGGCCCAGAGTTCAAGCCCCACAACAGACCCCCTCCCCCCAAAAATAATTAAAACAAACAAACAAATAAATAAAAAGGGAGCAAAATAAGTTGCCATTTTTTAAAATAGTGAGATACTTGTTTACAGACAACAGACCCAACCAAAGCAATGAAAATCTCTATAGTCTCAATCATTTCAAACCTTATCTTACACTACTTACCTTATACAATTTATCTTTTGTGTGTTGTGTTGCTACTAGTGCTTAAACCTTGCTTAGCTTTTTTACTCAAAGCTAGCACTCCACCACACCTTTACTTCTACCTTTTTGCTGGTTAATTGGAGGTAAAAGTGTCTCAAGTTATATATGCCCAGGCTAGCTTGAAACCTCCACCAGATCTCAGCTACTAAGTAGCTAAGATTACAAGTGTGAGTCACTTGTACCCAGCATTATTCTATGCATTTTACAAGTCAAAATATTTCAAGTTTGTGTGATGAAGAAGTGAACACTGCACCACAGAACATGAGCACTGGTGGAAACCCATGCCACTACATACCTCTTCTGCTGTCCAGAAGGATGCCTGAGCTTGTTTATACATTTTCCAAATATCAGGGTACTGGATTGGAAAAATGACAAACCGGCGGGAACTCTTTCTTAGAAGTGGTTCTTCATTTGACTTCACCGCACTTTCATTGGTATCTGAAGATAACCTCTTAAAAAAAAAAAGTACAAATATCACTTTCATGCAGATATTTATTTTGCATTCATATGTAAATATACATCTGCTGCAGTTAGGAAGCTAGCATAAGGTGCCTGTGGAGAATCCTTCCAGGTATCTGGTAGCTGGCTGACAGTGCTTGGTCAGCTGCATGACTGTGGGAAACTGGTTAATTTCTCTGAGCCTCACTCAATTTCTGCAACTGCAAAATAATACCTACCTCAAGCTGGGCACCAATGGCTCATGCCTGTACTCTTACCTACTTAAGAAGCTGAGATGGGAGGATCACCATTCTGGCCTGCTCAGGAAAAGTCTGATATATATATATATATATATATATATATATATATATATATATATATATATATATATATATATATATATATATATTGATTATTGTGAAAATACCAGGGGGGTTACAATTACACAGGCAAGATAGTGAGTACATTTTTTCTTTTTCTTTTTTGCTGGTCGTGGACCTGAACTCTGGGCCTAGGTACTATCCCTCAGCTCTTCAGCTCAAGGCTAGTGCTCTACTGCTTGAGCCACAGGGCCACTGCCGGCTTTTTCTGTTTATGTGGTGCTAAGGAATCGAACCCAGGACCTCATGCATGCAAGGCAAGCACTCTACCACTGAGTCACCTTCCCAGCCCCCATAGTGAGTACATTTCTTATCAAGCATTGTTGCCTCCTCCTTTGTTTCCCCATACCATCCTTTCCCCTCTCCAACCCCACACCCACACCTCCCTGCCACTCCTCCATCCCCCCTACTCCCAGTCTGTGATATTTTTATCTCCAGCTAACCACCAAAAAGTCAAAAGTGGGGTTGTGGCTCAAGTGGTAAAGTACTAGCCTTGAGCACAAACACTCAGGGACAATGCCCAGGCTCTGACTTCAAGCCCTAGGACCAGTATACACACATATACATACAAACACTAATAACTTACCTGATGGCAAAAATGCAAGAATTATTATACTTATTGTTGCTTCTGAGAATCTAAGTACAAAGCTAAAGACATAAAAGTCATTGTGGATACATTTCTAGGTTTGTGGATAAAATATCCCTTCAAGTACACTTAATATAGAATATTGATATGATTATGACACTGTTAAAAGCTAGTTTCTAAATGGTTTCATCTTAAAACTTATCTGAAAACTTAACAATTTATCACCTTTGTTCAACTTAACTCGTGTGTGTGTGTGTGTGTGTGTGTGTGTGTTCTGTATAGCATAAATTATTTTTACTTATAGGGGCATATAGTCATGTTCCCAGACAAATTAATACTGTATTTATTTCAAATGACAGCTACAAAGATCAGAGGAACTAATATAAGTAAAAGTACTTTGAACATTCTTAGATGCTATATGCTTTTAAATTATTGACTATTAGATGTTTCAGGTTGTCTTTTTCAAGGCTATCCCTCTATCCAAAGAATTATTTTAGCCATTATTTGAGCAACCATGATCTTCTGTAACTTCCCTAAAGGAACCTGAAGGATCATTCACTCATTAAATACTAAGAGATTAGTGTTGGGACTTGTTTTGAAAATAAAGTATCTTGAAATAATGAGAAAAAAATACTGAGAGAAGAGTTGGAAAGATTTTAAAGATTAGATATTCAGCCAAATATGGGAGTTCATGCCCATAATTCCAGCAATTGAGAAGCAGGAGGCAGAAGATTGTGAGTTCAAGGTTAGCTTGGGCTAACCTTAGGCTAATTTTTGCTATATAAGCAAAGCACTGTCTTTTAAAAAAATGTGTGTGGAAGTGGTGCTGTGGCTCAAAGTGGTAGAGCGCTAGCCTTGAGCTGAAGAGCTCAGGGACAAGCACCCAGGCCTAGAGTTCAAGCCCCACAACCAACCAAAAAAAAAAAATGAATGAAATTTTAAAAATGTGTGTGTAACTGTGTGCCGGTGGCTCATGCCTATAATCCTAGCTGCTCAGGAGGCTGAGATCTGAGGATCAAGGTTCAAAGCCAGCCTGGGCAGGAAAGTCTGTGAGACTCTTATCTCCAATAAACCAGGAAGAAGTGCTGCAGCTCAAGTGGTAGAGCGTTTGCGTTGAGCTGAAAAGCTGAGGGACAGCATCCAGGCCCAGAGTTCAAGCCCCATGACTGACAAAAGAAAAAAGAAAAAAAAAGTGTGTCGGTAGATTAGAAAACTGGAATCTAATTGAAAGGGTGAAAGGGTAGAGGTCTATGGTCAACAAATATTTCAAACCTTCCTTGATCCACAATGCTCTTTTTTTTTTTTTTGGTTGTGGGACCTAAACTCCACTTCCAGCTTTTTCTGTTTATGTGGTGCTGAGGAATCGAACCCAGGGCCTCATGCATGCAAGGCAAGCATTCTACCACGGAGCCACCTTCCCAGCCCCCACAATGCTCTTCTTTTAACCCCTCTAGATCATGCTTTCATAGCATTTTGATATTACCCTTCATTGTTTTTTTGAGTTTGTATTAAATTACCAGTGCACAGGTATGTATTTCAGGGCTAGAAATCTCTACCACACCCTATTTGCTATATGGAGCATACTGGGGAAGGAAAGTGAAGAAGGAAAACATAAGCAGTAATCCAGTGGCAACAAGTCAGCTGGTAAGTATGTGTCAGGATCTATAAAACTGCTGAATAGTGCCTTCAGGCTGGGGTGAAAGTCACATTTTGTACATACATTCTTCTTTTTTTTTGGGGGGGGGGGTCCGGTCGTGGGCCTGAACTCTGGGCCTGGGCGCTGTCCCTCAGCTCTTCAGCTCAAGGCTAGCGCTCTACCACTTGAGCTACAGCACCACTTCCGGCTTTTTTTTCCTTTTTGCTTATGTGGTGCTGGGGAATCGAACCCAGGGCCTCAAGCATGCAAGGCAAGTGCTCTACCACTGAGCCACCTTCCCAAGCCCTATACATTCTTCTTATATCTTGATAAAATATGAATTGAGAAAAGAAACTAGGGAACAGGAGGTTAATCAACACAAACCTTTGAACCAAGCTAGAGCTGATGTATCACTTACTTCATGATGTTTATTTTAATATAATTTGAGGAGGTAAATGCAGGGCTCTCCAGGTTCCCCCTAAGAACCTGTAGCTTATAAAACAGGCTTGTTTTGGGGATAATCACATCCATCTCTTAACAATCACTAATGGAATCTCCATCACTCCTGTGCCATAGTGTTATATTTTCAGCTGCATATTGAGCATCACAAAACTGAATTCATTATTTTTAGTAATAGAGTTGACTTTATAAAGACTTTGCATTAATGAAGATGAATGACAATAGGTAGTTTATTTGCATGAATTAAGATAGGATAATAAAACCTGCCCAAATTGTTTTAAGGAGGAATGGGATAAGAGAGAATAATAGAAGGGGATAAATTGGATCCAGATACATCATATGTATGAATGAAAATGTCCCTATGTCAAGCCCTCTGGTACAACTAATGTATACTTACAATTTAACTAAAAAATAAATGAGAAGTACAAGTTGTCATGTCCAAAACGAGCTTTACAACGTCGGTGCGGGGGG